TTGCCAAGCGACGAAAACCCAACCCCGATGGCAAACACCGAGGGGGGGGGGCAACACGAGGCAGGGGGTGAGAAAAACAGGGAACCGAACTCCACGACAACGTGCCGCAGACTAACGCAGCTTTGGTTTGGTTGATGTCCGTTGGATGCCGCGATGCCGCGAACAGGGTGAATTACCTTGTTTTTCCAAATGACTACACACGCTTGTGGGTCGGATAGATGTGCGTGTGCCGGCGGATCTCGCTGCAGTACTTTGCTTCTTCGCCCGAGAGGAAAATGTATACTAGAGCGGGCCGTAGAAAGCTCTTCTGCACATGCACATAAGGAGGGAGAAGCCTTCAACAACGAAACTGCGTAGATATGCCCCGTCCCATGCATGGCACGTGCCTACCTCCTCCCGCAGCTGGCTTGCTAGGGCTCCAGGATCCCCCCGGAGAGACATTTCATGTCGGTCCTGACAAAAAGAAGAGAGGGGAGAAACAACGGTGTCACCGCCGCCGCCGCCACCGCCGTTGCCACCACCGCCGCATATTGTGAGGGGAGTGTATTTGGGTGACCACGAGAGACAGGTGGCGCGCGAATGCACACGCATAATCATTTGCATACACAAGATGGAGAACGGTGGTATCGGGGATACTGCAACAGGGGGCTCGGACAATCTATAAAACGAACGGCACAAGAGAGTTTCGGTGTTTGGCTCCATCGTTACGGGATCCTGTGATGTCGTGTCAGGTGCCTTTCGAAGCCAAGCCAGACACACGGTGGGCGGGGACTACGATACTTGCTGCTGGTCCTCTTCCTCAAGCTATGGATAGAGCCCAACGCTCAGACAACTTTTTTTTTGTCTATGTACCCGTTCGTCGTACTTGAAATCGAGAGGCCTGCTTTCCTCTCCCTCACCCTTTCCCGTCTGTATCTGACGTCCCTGAAGAACGTCTGGATGACGTGGGTGGCGCGGTTCCTCGACCGTTCCTCCGCTACCCGCCGCAGGCCCTCGGCGCGCCTCAGGCGTCTCGCGGTGCGCATGTCCGCCTTGGTCCTCCACCTGCGCCAGTTTCGCCAAATCAACCGTACCGCGCGATCGCGGTCGTCCCGCAGCCCGCGGACGTACCGTCTCGCGCACAAGGCCAGTAACGCCGACTGGATCCGCGCCGCCGCCCGGCGACGGACATCCGCGGATACCCCCGGGTCTGGGATGATTACCCTGCAGCCGCCGTTCCGACAAAACGGGCGGCGCCTGGCTGTGGGGCGGACCGTGAGCGCCTTGGCTCGCGCCCGGGCCGACATAGTGGAGGAGCTGGCCTGGAGGGAAGAGGAGGTCGTCGAACGGTCCCCGGGAGAAGCGGCGGACACAGCAGCCGTGTCGGCGGTTCCCTCATTAGTCCCGCCCAGCCTCGTCGTGTGCGTTTGTGATCCGGTGCCGCTTTCGAGGCACTGCGATCGGGAGGAGGGCAGCGGCGCACGCTTTCCCTTTTCGATGCGGTTATTGGTGATGTTGCCGTCTCTAGGTACGCTCTGGGTACATCGCGAGGGATCGCTGCTTCGTTTTCCCGCTCCAGCTATCGCCCCGTCCGTTGCCTCGTGATGCCCATCTACCGAGACGCGGACCCCTCCCCGGCTGCTACCGCCGCCGCCGCCCCTGCTGCCGAAAGCCGCCGACGCTCGGCCGTGGCCTAGCCGCGCCGCGCCCGCCCGACCCCTTGCAGCAGCGGTGCCGGAGCAAACCACGGTGAGCCCTGGACGGCCACCGCCCCTCGCGGGCGCCGTGGACACCGACCGAACGAACGGAGGCCTCTCTTTTTCCTCCCTCCAGCACGACGACATTCTCATCATCGCACAAGAGGACTTCAACAACGACGGTAACAACTTTAGCCTTGTCGCGCCGACGTGCCTGTCCACCAGCGCGCCTCTGAGCTCCTCCCTGACACTCCGCTCGGCCAGCGACTCCATCCTAAAGGAGCAGTCTCTCTCCGGAGTGTGCAAGATCTCTTCCGTGCGCCTGGCGTTGGAGAGGATTGCCCGGGCGCTCGACGTGAGCGCTTGTTCGGACGCAGCCTCGCTCCGGAGCACCTTCGCGGCGGCCAGAGCTTTGGAGCGGACTGACTCGTGAAGCTCGGGGACGATGGGCTGGTCGAGGCGCCCTCCTCCCGCCCACTGCAACTCCTCCTCTTCGTCCGTTGACAGCTGGTACGGGATAGTGTTCTCGTCGTTCGAATACCCCAGACCCGCCGGGAAAAGCGGGGACTCGACCGACGTTGACGCCGAGCGGAGGCTTCCTTCCGCCGCCGCCGTCGAAAAAGCGCTCCTCGCCACGCCCTCAGTGACAAAAATTCCACCCCCACCATCCACGCCATTGTTTTGATCATCGGTGACCAGCAACAACGGGCTGGTCGTCACCACGTTTTCGGTTGCCGATCCCGATTTTCGCTTCCGACCTTCGTCGTTCGCGTCTGCATCCGCCGTGGGCGGCGCCGACTGTTGCTGCGGCGTTAGCACCATCGGCTCTGGCCGTGCATCACTACCCTTAATGTCGCTGTCGGGATCGCGGCCTTGTTTTCGCTCTTGTTTACTTTGCCGGCGAGGCAGAGGTGCGGAGACATCGCCGCTGGCGGACGTGCGTCGGTGTTGGTAGTCGTCGTCGTTGTCGTCGTCGTCGTCGTCGTGGCTATTCGCTCGGGATCGAGACCGAGAGAGGGACAGGCGTCTCTGCCCGTTGCCTGTACCCGGAGAGCGCTTATGTTGCTGTTGCTGCCGTCGCGGCACGGCCGCCTCCTCACGGCGCTCTTCGCGCTGCCGCCGCAGATCCTCGCAAACATTGAGCCCGTTCGGAGGGATGAGGAACGGATTGTCTCGAACCGAGAAGCCAAGCCAAGCGGAGACCGGAGCGGACGCGTCAGCGTCATCGAGAAACTCTAGATCATGGGCCATCTTGGTGAGGTAGTTGTTGCCCTTCCAGAGGAACAAAGGGGCCGGGCCGCTGTCGTTCTTGCCGCCGAAAGGCCGAGGGACGGCTATCGACCGTGTAAGCGCGTTGTCATCGACCTCATCGCGAAGGTCGTGTGGGTCATGGTGGTGCACGCTACCGTCTTCGCTGCCACGGCGCTTGAGTCCGGCTTGGTGTCCCTCCTGCGAAGCGTCAATGAACCACGGGTGTCCTCTCTGGCTGTGCTTTTGCCTGTTGCCTTGATGGTGCCCTTCTTGATCTTCACGGCAGACTACACCGATGCCATGATCATGTTCCTGAAATTCTGCGAGCGGTTCCGGGAATCGCGTCATTCCATTGGGCAGACCCGGGGCTGACTCGCTAGGATGCATGCGACGATACCCTGGTTTTCCGGACCCAAGGAACGTCGTCTGCAGAAGCAGCCAACAACACGCGCGTACGTGCGGCTAAGTAACAGTAGTGTACACAACAAGGATGAAAGAGGAATTCCGCGGTCGCTCGAATGAGAAACAAAGCTTTGCCACTCAACCGACTCTTGTCGATCGGACTACCTCGGCAAGGGTTACCAAATCCACCGCTGCTCTCTGTCCCTTGCCAACAGAGCGAGTGGGTGGCCAATGGATACATTGACTTCATTCTACCTACTGTCAGGCAGAGAGTGTATACATCCCTCCTTTAATGCGGAATGTCGCGGCACCGTAGCTCTGCTAACGCATGTCTCACCCGCCACTCACACACGGCTTTAACCGTGTCAAACGATATCGCTCGAAGGTGAGCCAGCACCACCCTAAGCTCCTGCTGCTCCGAGAGGAGAGTTTTCCTGAACCGTGCATCCCACCGCATCCCGCAGAAGGCCGCGAGTGGCACAAGAAGGCAAAGGGTAAGCTAGCAAGAAAACTGAACGAGAGTGTCGACGATAAGCTTTCCTTAATCATAAGCAAATGTTAGCGAGGGGTTGCTCAACGACCATGGCGTGTGCACGTCTCAAACTTCATAGGGAACTCGTTACTGCTGTAGCGTCGAGGGAGTGCGAGAAGAATGAACTTTGTCTTTGCCAAATTTTCAAGAACTTGTCTTGTCCGAATCCGAAAAAGCGCGAATGTGTCCTGCTCATCCAATGCAGAAAACTGGCTGTGGATTCGTTGCCCCCCCTTGTCCTCCCTGACGGGGGAAATCAGAAGTTGGGGGGGTCGTGCATGGTTTACTACATCTGAAACAGACACATTTTCCACTACACAACAACAAACAAACCTGGTAGAACTCGTGGTACACACCCCCACTTCCGGAGGGGGCTTCCCGTAGTGCCAACGGAACTTGGCCTCCCACCGCAAGAGCTCCTGGAGTTTGCCACAGCGGCGGCGGAGCCTTCGAATCAACCTTTTGAGAGTCACGATAAGCCTGACCCGAGGAGGAGAGAGAAGGAAAGGAGAGACGGATGTGGAACACGCAACGCGCAAACGCAAGGTAACAGATGCATGCAAGGACGTTGGAACCGATCCATCGCATGTATCGCAATCGACGACGACACTTGTCGGGACTGCCCTCTCGGAGTTTCCCTCCCTATTGGCGGTGTTGTGTGGCGACAACTCGGCACACACGGGGCATCAATCGTCTCACTTGTTGTGTTGTCAGTACCTCGGCCACTGTTGGCCAACCTGCTCCATCTGTTACATTGCGCAATTACTTAGCGACCAAGGTGAAGTAAAGGATAGCACCGGCTGATGTAGTAAATCGTGGCATGGCCCCAACCTGTGTGCGTTGTTGAATGCATACGGCGCTCACCGTTCCCTAACCAGTATGGATTTCAAAACGTCTAGTTCGGTTGTAACACCGGCAACTCGCGACCGAGGTTCGCTCGTGCGTGGCCGGACGTCTTGTCCCAGCAGCAATCTTGCATCCCGTTCCCTTCTTATCTGTGTTGTAGTCGTTCGACAAGTTGTGGAATGACGCAGGTAGAAGGCGTGGAGGTTTCAACAAATGCCTCTAATTTTGATGGCCGTGGGCTATCGACATCCGGATCACAAGGAATGGGGTATCACGATTTTTTAGCCTCTTCGATAGAAATGCGCGGCGTTGGAAGGGCCTCGCCTAAAAGTGCGGTTGTAGCACCTCAGACTTGGTAATGTGCTGTGTAGGCCGATGCTTAGCATGTTTGCAAGACGAAACTATACATAGATGTGAGGAAGTTTCCGCGCGCTGTTTCCGAATGTATTCAAGCCCATCTGGCCCTTTCACTTCCACCACATGCCCTAGGCCCAAGGTGCAGTATATACCCCGCCACCACATGTCCGCGGCAACGCGATTCACCATTTCTTCACAATGCAAAAATAAACATGTGCGTTTTTGCCCGCCTCATAGGACACGCCGTGAGCGCACTGGCTCCCCGGCGTCTGCGTCACGAGAGAACAGACAGACGCGAACAAGATGGTTGAACGATGGCGGGAGGGCTTGCTTGTGAGGGTCTTTCGTGTCTTGGCGTGAGGGATCAACCAACCTGTCTTCCTTACCTTGGCTTTGTGGCACGTTTTCATCTTCTGTGCCCCTTCCACGGCATGGATGACGTTCCTGTACACAATCCCGGCGCGGGACAGCGACGGGTCGATGTCGCACATGGCCCGCATAGGCGCGAGGGCGGTGCCCCAAGGCTCTAGCGACCGTTCGGCCGGGTTCAGCCTCAGGGAAACCCAGCCGTGTGCGTCAGGAATTCGCGGGTAGACCACGCTCGACTGCACGGAGGGTGGTTTGTGTGCGTTGCCCGCACTACCAGCAGTGCAGAGGTCGCCATTTTCACCTGCGTCCCTAGGAGATATCCACCTTCCAGCAAGTGCGTCTCCCTCAGCTGCTGTCGCTGCGGCTTCCGCCAGGGTCGTCTCGTCGATTTCCTTCTCATCGCTGTTTCTGCCGGAGAGCTGCTTCTGGTGTGCCCGCTTTTCGCCCGATCGCTTGCTTCCGCTGCGAGCGGATGAGCTCTTGGCGTTGATCGCAGCCCGAGGCCTCCAAGGCACCGGGGCGGACCGAACGGGAGGGATTCTCAACGAACTAGCCACCGCGAACGAACCGCTAGTCTCGCATAGACTCGTGGAGCTCGGGCCGAGGCTTGAGCCATCGTCCAGGGAAACCGTGGGACCTATGGAAAATTTGACGCGTGTATTGCTGCCACCACCACCCTCGATCACCCCGCTAGGTAGATGGCTTGATGTCAAGTTATCGCCCGGCCTTGGATCGTTCCGGTCCGTAACAGTGCCACTTGCGCCGTCGGCACCCCTGTCTCGGTCTCGAACAAGAGACCGATCAGAGCAAGGAGTCTTATCTCGTGGCATTGGGTGCTCACAACGGGGCGGAACCTCCCCCGGCGGAAAAATGGGAGCTATCGAATCAGTCAGAGAGCCCTTCTGCGGCGGTACTTGCTCTGCGACCTTGAGCGATATGGCTGCGGATATCCGGTGACGCTTGCTTTCACGGCTACCCGCCGCCGGTGTGTCCACAATGCATGGTTTTCCGCCTCTTGCCGATTTTCTTGACAGCAGGATGCCACTTGGTGCTTTGTGTGCGAAACCGGCAGCGCGGCGAGCTCGCAGCTCCCGCAAACGTTCGGTTTGATGGAGTCGTCGCGACAGCCTTCCGGGTCCGAACCTGCGAACGAGTCCAGCACACAGCAGCAGCCGATCAAGTTTCGCCACCAACCCATCCATGCCCAGGGTTAGATGCGTCAAAACGGTTATTGTATGCCATATGGGTTCCGAGTTGGATACCTTGTACGCGCATGTCTGTCTGTCTTGCCGCCGTCGTGTGCTTCGTACCGTGTGTTCTTGGATGCGAAAAAACAACAACCACCCGCAACTTGCTGGTGTCGTTGTCTGGACTTGAAGACCGTTCTGAAGTCGGAAATCATCCTGTGAGTTACTTCGAAATTACGTGCATAAAACAGTGGAGAGACTCACAGACAAGGACCTGCCGCTGAATGGTTCGCAAGACTTAAAATTCCCCCAGGCTGGAAAATTAACGAGGCAGGGCCTATCATTCCACTCGGAAGCCGAGTCAACAATCAAGATATACTACAACTTATAAGAATACCATACACACAAAGCATTGGTGGCGTATGCATACTTGCAAGAAGGTTTTTAGTAACTTGACCCCATGTTGCGCAAAGACCAAAAGGGCTAAACCGGTGGTAGGAATTGTATGCGCGTGGGACAACTCTCTCAGCTTGTGCGCTACAGCATCATGTACCCTCAATGTGCTGCTGCAAATCTACCGTATCGTCGTACCTATCGCTTGCCCTGTCACAGGCGACAGCGGGTGGTCGAAACTTGAACATGTTTTTAATGTTCCTGTCTGAAAACTGGTTAAGTGTGGCGGTGTTGTGACAGGGCACAGCGGCGTTCGTGTCAGGATCATTGTCATGGAGTGCTCCCCCCCCATCGCCAAGCTCGAACAGACACACAGGTATCGTGTGCGTAGGAGCATTCAGCATTCCAACCGTCCCTGGAGTGTCCCTTTACGTGACAAGCAGCAGAGTAGCAGAGCATCAGAGCATCAGAGCATCAGAGCAGCAAAGCAGCAGAGCAGCAGAGCAGCAGAGCAGCAGAGTAGCAGAGAGAGCAGAGAGGGTAGCAAGCGCGGGGAACCAAGTGCGGCGGAATTTCAAAAGGGTGCTACTCTTTGGTGGAGGCGTTTTTTCGGTTTCATCGCGAAATGCCCGGCGCCCCGCGGCCGCCCGCCCGACATCGATACCCCAGTCCGGCGTGGTCATGCCGGCAACCCATCATCCAGAGGTTGCTCACATGGGTCAAAATAGTCGTGGTACTACCGGGGTGTACGAGCTTCAGCTTCGACGAAAGCTTTTACAACAACAGCTTGGACTAGTCGACGACAGGTGTCAGCGAGTGGCCAAGGTGGTCGCAAAAAAGCATTTGGCGCGGCTTTCCCGCCAAGAAAAACTGGGGAAGCCGCCTAGTCCTGGCAGAAAGGATGGTGCTGATAGAAGGAGAAAGTTCATAGCTAACCCAGGTGAACTGCCGTCGATACGTGTGGTCGGAGGAGGAGGTGGTGGAGGAGGAACCCGCGAGCGAGATATTGGGCTCCTCGTAGGGGGTCACTCGACTAAGCGACTTCAGCAGGACCTGTTGAAGGCAGCGCCGTTCAGGAAGGGCGGTTCCATCGACCACACTAGGAAAAAGCAAATACTGCAGGACAAGCAGCGGGACATAGAAAGGCAGACTGCGCTCGAGAAGAAAATGCGACCAGCCAGAAAGGGGTTGAGCGTGAGAGACGAAGTGGCTGCCGCACCGTCCGCGTTTCCGGACAGATATCTCAGAGGAGAGGTTCCTTGCTCGAAGCATTGCTCTGTAGGTGAGAAATCAACCATGCCTGCTTGCATAGGGCGTTTTGGAACTACCGCGGATTGCATAGGATACCAAGCTCTAGGTTGATATTCAAAGCTCAATGTTGTAGCCAGCAAAGTAAGCGGTGACGGTGCCGAAAATATAGGCGTTGGAATCTTCTTGTCGAGAGCTTCCCGAAAGCTTATCGTTTGGCATATCCTCTTCGTCGTGGAGTAATCGAGCTTGGAAAATCGAACCAGGGTATGTATGTGGTGACTTATGCAACCTACGGTATCTTGCATGAGCTGCAGGCCTTCTTCTGGGGTAATGACCATCGTCCGTTGTGGTTGTGTCCACGGGTGGTGAAAAATGAATGTATATGCATACGAAAATATGCACGTCGGATGGAAAACAACACCCCAGCCAATATTGGTTGGTGGCGTCCGCTTGTTACAGGTGTTGTGTAGGGTGAGAAAAAACATTCTATCCTTGCATGAATTCTGTGAAGAATATTGCCTACAATAGTAGCCGCATGAAAGCACATATTGTATGGCAAGTGAGTTTGACAGGCTGACTCACTGGTTTTCGAAGAGGCCCTATCGCTAAGGTGACATACCGCATTTTGCGCTGAGGCAGTGTGATTTGTCTGCACTTTGCAAGCCCTTCCGCTGGTGAGTGCGAACATTGCCGCCTCCGTCCCTTCTTCGTATAACTCAGCAAGCGCTTTGGTCTGGGTCTGTCCTCTGGAGCAGCTGGATTACGAGTACTACTTGCCAATGTTTTTCGATGGTATCCGCTGCCTTGAAGAACCATGCATGACGCTAGCGAGACAGGTTAGTGCTTACCCACTGAGGGGCTCGATCGGCCGGCACCCTAGGCCACTCAACTGGTCTGTTTAACCTTACAATGGAAAGAAGTTGAGGTGATAAATTTCCGGTGCCACCGTTTCTCCTAGGGTAGACCCCCCTTCCCATCCAATGCTGATTGTAGATTTTTGTGTACGGTGTCTCTTCTATTCACGTCCCAGTCTTTCTGATGCAGAGAGGTCATGCATATGCTGCTTGCATCGCTCAGGTCCCAGTTTTTCTGATGCGGAAAGCGTAACGTATCTTGTATTACGGGAATCGAACCTGCGACCTTTCTTTCGTGGGTCCAAAGGGACTCTCCCCGTAAACCACTCAGTCTGCCGCTGACTGCTGCATGTAGGCTAGTGGTACACTGCTAAACAACCTATTTCGTTACTCCAAAGACGGAACAAGTCTTTCTCTTCCTGATTCTTGTGTTTTTGAAAACAGCGGAGAACTCTGGCGACATTGGTCACACCTGAGTTGTCCGTAGTAATCGACGACCCACTAGTTCTGAGCCTTGAAGAACTTGTCCACCAACGTTTACAAGACACCATGAATCTCCGCGAAATGCATCAGCCTATGTACGGCAACCTCCATGGTACATGAATGAGGCGAACGTTTCCCTCAACAACAGAAACAGATTCGTGAGACATCGGGAGCCTCCATGATTCGAGACGCTCATGACAACTAGGTGCAAGCGTAAGCGTAAACATACCAAAAACTGCAATTTGTGCCGCCTATGCAACCAACTCAGGGTGTGTCGGATCTGTTGAGCGCGGCGCGAGGCTACCCCCAGCGCATCCTGCCATCATTGCCGAACATCATGAGAGCCCTGAGGGTGGCCATCTCGTGCAAGAATCCGGGAGTGATTTTATTCGCTTGCAGTGCTCTACGCCAGCTTGCCACAGGAAACAAAGAGGTTCGTTCGTGCAGCTAATGACCACCAACCGTTTGAGAGCAACGAGTCTCGACAATGGGAATCTTGTACCGCTAAGGCTATACGATTTGAGCTTGCAGTCTCTACCGATAATTTTCATTGCACCACTCCGATGCTGCTCGTCTTCGGTTTCACGAATGATAGGACAAGTTGATGACTAATTTCCCCCGCATAATAAATCTTCATGCTCGTTTGGTGGCTGGTCATCGACTTTCACGTACCCCATGCTACTCGTGAGTTAAATCCCATCACCGTCATGAAGGAGCTTTCTGGCGAGAAGAACGGTCACCAACCCGTACAATGCTGGCCATGATTGCTTATGGCCATCGCTTAGACCTTGATCCTCGCCACCAGCTCCCGTCAACGGTCTATAAACGACCCAAAAATCATGTGGCTCTGAAAACAGGTCGGCGAGGCTTTGGTGGGGTATTACAAGATGTTCTTGCACGTCTTCAATGTGTTCATGAACTGCACCAAGAGCATCGGGGACAAGATAGACTACGGACAGCGGTAAGAGCTTCATGTGTTCGGAGCAGCGAGGTGTGGTTCCACGTCATCGATAGCTCGGCGGCTCTCGTTCGATGCTCACGGTTGACGGGACTTGGCGAGATCAAACCATCATCGTCAGAGCTCGTTCGCAGTATCACACCTCTGTGAAAAATTGCAGGCCAGACAACAATCAATTGCGCACCCGATGGGCCATCTTGGAAGCTTACTTCTAGCAGCATAGATCCCCACGCTGTGTACGACACCTTGGCTCGCTCCAGCAAAATTCGTGCTAGGCTGCGCGTTGTTCTCACAGAAACATCGGTATCCTGCTGTTGTCGGTGGCGATGGCGTTATTATTCTTCAGGAATAGCCAAGACATTGGTGAGGCCGTGTCGTGCACGGTGGAGACGTTAGAGCGCAACGGTGGCAAGCACGCGTTTGCCCACATCAAGCACTGCATCCCTACGTGTGAGTAAATACATCTCCATCATACCTGATGCGCAAGTGCAATGCCAGCTCTGACTTTGCAAAGCTATGGTGTGAGGCCTCTCTGCTGTTGTAGATTCGTGTTGAAGTTTTTCTGTCCGTTTGTGGGTCACACTATCGATGCGAACAACGGGGGCTGGTAGACGCCTTGACAGAATGTCATTTTCGGCCACACGATTATTGGAGCCGATGCTTCAACGTCAATTCGCGACCCATTCCGCTCGTTTGGAGACACAAAGGAAGCGAATAAACCCGCGTACGAACAACTCCACAAAACTGACATTCCTCTCTCCTTGTGCTCCTTCCCACTCTGTCGACCACTCGCTTCTTCGGTCGTCTAACCGCCTGCTGATGATGACGGCAACGACAGATCAAAGTTGCGTAACATAACGCAGCGCAACGCGGTCAAGCGTGGCACAGCTGATGTAGCTGGGCGTGGGTCTTACGGATGCAACTGTCTGAGCCCAGCCGAGTTAAAAGAAAGCATTGTTGGTCGTACCGCTGGGGGGGAGTGCGTCGAAATAGCCATAACAACGGCCAACGCGCACCTTCACTTGCCCGGTTGCCTGATTATGGGTTCTTCGGGTCTGTTGATGACTCGCGGCATGTGGCATTTAATGATTTAGTTAAGGTTTAAAAAGTTGATTGAGGTTCCTTCCCGGCGTGTACGACTACGTAGACTAATCGATTGTGTGACGGGGCTTTTTCGTTTGTGTGATTGCGACATATGAGGTCCTAGCGCGATACTGCCCTGCTGTGAGGCTGATGTCTGTACAATACGAGCTATTTCGTGTAGTGTATGCGTACCAAGGACAAGAAATATGTTACATAGAGACTTCTACCCATGAGTCCTACACGGCGTTTACGTGTGAATCCTTAGCCTTGAAAGTCTCCCACGTGCCGCTCGCGTTTCACGAAGTCAAGACAAACTCTGAAGACATCCGTCCAGCCACGACGTAACCCAGACAGTGTTAAGGACAAGAAGGAAAGACCCCGGAGGGGGTTTTGCGCCAACAGTTTCTGTCGCCACCAAAACTATCGCGCGTATTTCCAGCCAGGTGGTGGTGCGTCCAAAACATCGACTGGTCATGAGTATAGCCACACTGTAAAAGCACGCACGGCAAACTTCTCTTGTGTTCTCTGTGGAATGGAGATGACAGCTGGCGGGACAAACCAAGACGGACTTTTAGTACAGTACTCGCAAGCCAAAATAACGGCTCCGCCAGCTACATTTTCCTCGGTCGACGTTGGACGCACAAGCATTGGCCGAACGCAAACGCACGCTACTTCTGAAAGTTTTCGGCGCTGAGGCGCTGAAACGACGTTGTTATCTTCGTGGTTCCTACCAAGAAATGTTGAGGAACACGAAAACAAATTTCCGGACAAAAAGCAGTGTTGGTATCATGTTCCCTCTCCTGTGCAAACCCAGGTACAGTACACAACCCTAAAAACTGCCCGCTTCCGCGTGCGGACCTGAACGCTATCGAACGTAGGGTAACACGCTTGGTCGGGTAACTTCTGGCGCGACACGGAGCGGGTACAAGCGACGGCTGATGGCGCATATGGCTTCTGTTTCTAAGACTCTGATCCCAAAAACGGCTTGCTTGACACCAGAGAATGACCGTCACAAAACTTCTTTTACATTGCAATGATTTCATCCATCCTCCTTTTCCTAGCCAGCAGTGCCATGGTTAAGAAGCCATTACCCATTACCGAGCATCGGAACCTGCGGTTGCGTTTCGTTGGTCTTTGGTTTGGCCGGGAACAGCTGGTTGCAGGAGATGAGGGGTGGGCAGACGGGCAAAAAGGCACGAAAAAATAGAGACCGGGTTACATGTCGATAGGGATTCTTTAAGTTCAACAGTATGTTGAACCTAGGTTCCGCACATGGGATGTGTCACACACCGTGGTCGACCAAGCCCAACCCAACCCTAACGCTCACCCATAGCCAACGCACGACCTACCGGCCGCGAACTGGGCGAAGACGCGGCTGCGCCGCGTTGTCGGAATTCGGAATGGGGAGAGGGCTCTGGAGAGGAATCGACCGCCGAACCAACGGCCGACCAATCAGATGCGTCTAAAGTCTTAGTCCTAAAGACTCCCTACCAATGTATAATCAGCATTAAAGTAGAAACTCGGGGCGGGGCCGGGTTTGCGAGGGGCATGGAGAACGGGTTTCTTGGACTCGTCTCATGGGCTTCATGCTCCTCCCGGCACAAGGAACATGTAAGCGTCGTCGACTCGGGGGTGCGCTCTACCGTTACGCCAATCTGCATCCCGGCTGTTCTTGTAGAACAGAATTGGCGGCGGCCGTACGATCAGGTGCTGCATGCTCAACGGCAGAGTATACACGAACTGACGATGTTTCGCAGGTAGGCCCGTTTGCTCTTACCAGCAAAAAATCATGAACAGTCTACAGAGGACAATCAGTACCACCACATCACCCACCAGGTTCGGGAATTTCTTGGCCACAACCAAGAACTCGTCTAGCGTCAGCGTGCCCGACCCGTCGGCGTCCGCCTGTTTCATGATCGTCTGCGCCTTCTTCGCGACGGCCTTGGCGGTGGCCAGGTGGTTCGCCTTCAAGACGGCCACCAACTCGTCCTTCGCACACAAAACCAAGCAAGAAAGCGCGGCAAAAAGGTGGACACAAGTACATGAGATGTGGGAGGGTTGTGTGTCAGGCCGACCAGAGAGTAGATAGTCCCAAGGACAACATGAGATCATGATTTCACTTATATACTGTTGATACATTATTTTTCGTATTGTGGTGCACTCTGCTTGGAGCAGTCGTAGGCGTCCGTGATGTACACAAAAACTTAATCAAATCGAACTGAATCTCACATCTGCAGGTGATATGCGAGAGGCATCATGTAACACGGTACGCACAACAACGTACCATAGATAGAAAGCCGCTTCGGTCGACATCAAATAGCGTGAATATAAACTGCGTCCGCGGCTCCAGCGACCACTCCACGAAGTTCGCCATTCCCAGGAAGAACTGATAGCCGACAGCAGTGGGTCGTTCGACGAATCGAGGGGTTGTCACAAGGTATGCACATCATGCACAAAGGACGTACACGATACGCACATAACGCGATTTGGCGCATGAGGTGGACATTTTCTTCATCGAATGGTTGCCCGGGTTCGAGATTGAAGAAAATAGTCCTATTTGCACCCAGGGTGTCCCGGAACGGGCTTGGTAGGGCCTCTGCGACACCGACTGGTTGAGCGTTGTGGCGGACGCAAGAACCCAAGCTTTTCGGCGATGGTTCGAGTACTTGTATGTACGCCCGAACAAATTTTGCACGCAAACAGCACGTTGAATGACGCGATCTTTCACACTTCATCTCCCATGGACCGTGGGCGATGCTTGCCTATCTGGGCCGATCGATGGGACGGTAGCCAACCCACCTATTGCACGAGGAGGCCGGATGTCATTAGTGCGTAGACGTTGCGTTCACTATAAGAAAATGGTACTGCTTCTGCTTCTATTTCTTGAATCGTATTTGCGGCCAGCTTCTGTCCACGTTGGTCCCTGTCTCCCGGAAGAGCGTTGCGCGTAGGCTTGCGGAGAGTGTGGTTCAACGGCCTTGCTCTCTACGCAGGACTGGTTCGGTATAGCAAATCGGAATAGTCGTGCGAGATCACAACATGCGGCGACGAGTCTCAGTTCGATGGTGCGTCTGCTTGCGTTCAGCGGCTCGCCCGCGAGTGCGCTGCCTTGATCTTTCTTTCCACTGATGATGCACGCTCGACCTTGCTTTCGTCCCTCTGTGAACATAACTTGACTGATTGTTGTCGCTATGTAGCGAGGCAGGAATAGCGGATCTAAAAGCTCACCCGGACATCATTGCGATAGACACATGCACAAACACACATATATACACTGCAACAGGATCGTCTTTCATTGGTCTGCCGGTTAGCGCGGTCGATGGTAAACAAGAGCGCGCGCGCACACACCCCCTTCCAGGGACCTTGATGTTACCCGCTGACATTGACGTCTTTTCATTGGTCAGTCGGTCAGCGTGGTCGACGCTAATAAAAGAAACGTACACACTCACACACCTCCCGAATGTCGACTTTCTGAGATTCCAGCTCAGCATCGGTTTCGCCGCCTGTTCCCGGGAGAGCATAAAGCTTGAACAGCTTCCGGTACTGTCCCGTAGCCTCCACGTTAAAGACCTGTGGGCGAAGCGGTGAACACACGGACCATAAAGACCACCGTTTCTTCAACTTGACATCGGCATTTCAGGGCAATAACATTGTTGGCGCAAGCGACACATACTTGATGAGTTCAGATCAGAATAATTCGTTCGTTCGAAAGCAAAAATAGCAGCAACAATAGCAATAACAACAGCAACAAACACGAGCAAGAAGAAGAAGAACAACAACAACAACAACAACAACAACAACACCGAATGAAGAATCTCCAAAGGAGAACGTAGTCGTTTTGTTTTTTATTCAAGCTCACTAGTATCCACGTGTTGAAGTCCATCTCCACGGAAGAGGTCGCTTGCTTGTCGCCAGTGCGGGACGGAGCGAGATTCTGGAAGCGCTTGTAGGCCATTTCGATCTCGACGGCTCTGATCTCATTCTCCTTGACGAAGTCTTCCAGAAGCCACCTCTTACTCTCACGGTCCTTCATCTCCTGCAATTGAAGTGGTGGTAGTATGCCTTTTTCGTCGTAGTTGGTGTTGTTGTGACTTGTATCGTTGCTTGTTTTTGTGCAAGGAGATTGTACGGCCATGTCGTGTTTAAGGCCATGCGAAATTGATTGTGTATTCCTGTTTCAAGCGGTCATATAAGGGCGTATCTGCCCATGTGTTCATATCAATGCAGTGCCACAGATGTTCAACACGGCCACCATAATTCCTACCCACATCTCCCATTTCATGATGCTGAAAAAGTGCCAACACGCCAACACACATGACGTACCCACCACCAGACGTTACTTTCCCGGAAGTGCAACGCGTGAGAGAACCAACCAGGCGTTTATGCAATATTTTTACACCCCCTGCCCCCCCCCGGTGTTAGCCATCGGGGTTGGGTTTTCCTCGCTTGGCAACGACGTTGTAAAACAAGTCCATCACTTCGTGAGCTCGGCAACTAGGTTACAGTTTTTCTTTTTACGTCTGTTTTTTTTGTTGGCGGTAACCATAAAGGTGGTCGAGTAGATCATGTTGTGCGGGGTCGAGAACCCTCACTCCGCGCAAGGGGGATGATCGCACCACGTTGTGTTAAAATGGTCAAGCACCCTCGAGGCAGTTACACAGTGCTTACAACTGTCTCAGGAAGTGAATCACCAGAAAAAATATTAAGTCATACGAAGCTGTCATCTGTACGCAAGGAGGTAAGCACAAGATGCCGAATACCCTTAGCAGGATGCAACGCACCCTTCATGCGACTCGCCGAATACCTCACGGCGCTTCGCGCTTGGTGATGTGAGAGCCTGGTCCGGTGAGAACCCGGCGTGCTCCGTCCCGGCTTTGTAGGGATGCGAGGTCAATAGTCTAACGACTACGGCATGCACGACTATGAGTACACCCCCCTCCTTCATCGCCGTTGTTACTCGTTTTCGTCCAATGTTGACGTTAAGCACAACCGTGAAACTAGTAGTAGTTCTGGGCGTTTTCCGTTCGTCTCAAACCCCTCGCCACTTGCCTGGGAAACCCGCGCGGCCTCCTTCCCGTCGTTATTGCTTGTTATTGGCTCGGTGCTAAAGTCGGCCCTGGACGGATCCGGGTCGATGATCAAGCGGTGGAACTCTTCGAAGCTCACCTGCCCGTCTCCGTCGCTGTCGACCATCGATATCATCATGTCTACCTGCCTTTGCATGCGCTTGTCTTGGTGTTGCGTCTCGGGGCTTTGATAGATTGCGTGTGGCGTGTTGGGTTTCGCGTGGTACTTTGGCGTTGCGTTGCGTTGCACGGCGGTGGTCCCACCGTCGTGTGGTGGCTTAGCGGAGGGAGAAAACTTTTGGGGGGTGGTGCATTTGGTATTTCACCTGTGACGAATACAGGCAGGCGTTGTGCAAATTTTCCCTAAAGACAAGAGAGAAGCAAACGTGCGCACAATATCTCGAACCTGCAAGGCCAAGCCGGCGTCATAGTATCTATGAACCTTCGCGTACGTGCGGGTTACGCCGGCGCCGCTTGAAACCCCTACAAGTATACGCTGGGTTGACGTAGACTCTTATGAGGAAATATCTGAAGCATACATGCGAGGCGCAGTTCTTAATGGATTCAAGCGTTGGTTGCCACCTCTTCGTCTGTGATGAGCTCCCCCATGCAGATGAGTATATGTCGGATCTCGGCGGCCCCGATGTGTAAGTTGCGATCGAGGTCCAGAAACTTGAAGGCGGCCGATATTTCGTCGTCGGTGAATTCTGTCGACCTTCAACACGGCAAAGCAGTTTCAAAAGAATCCGTATTACCTACAAGCGATTTGCAGGAGTCTATCAAGGGGTGCGCGTACGAAAAACGAGCAAAAATGGTACTCACGAGTCGATTTATCCCAGACTATAATACTGTTACTTCCCTTTACTCGCACACACTCCCTCCGATTGTACACACGTGCCATCGGTTAGCCAAAGCGTCGCCGATGCGAGTTTTAAGGCAGCACACCTCTCTATTGGCGGCTGGTCTTGGTGCTCAACAATGGCAGTCGTTGCTTCTTCTGGCCTCCCTGCCGTTTGCTCTTCCTCGTTCGTCTCCTCCAAGTAGCCCTGAGATAAGAGGCAAACATTTTGCAGATAAAACAGGCATGAAACAACGTGTGATCGTCACTTTTGATATGCTTTCACGGCGCTTCGCCACATACTTCAAGTGGTTCTCCTGTTGTGACGTCGACGTACGGTTGTCCCGCCGAGCCGACAGCATGGTTTCCGCATAGCCGATGACATCGTTTGATCGGACGGACAAGGATCAATAATGGACACCTTCACGTCGATCCTCATGTACGGTCAACATGAAGCAGGGCGACAAATAGTTTCACATGCCAGCCTCGTCTCGACTTTCACAGGATCGGCGAAGACGGGTGGTCGGTCGAAAGTGGCCTTCCCCTCAAGCTGATGAAAACATACGGCAATGCGAGTGATCCATGTCTAGTGTGTCAGAGGCAACGCTGATAATTTGACCCCACAATGTACCCCCCCATGAACCCCGAGGTTGTTGCCGAGAGGCATAAAATATTTCGTGCCATTCTCCATCTGCACATGCAGGATTGGTTCAAAGGGTGGTCGGGCCGTCAACGTTGTAACACACCCACAGCAGTACTCCTTCAGTGGTTCACTCGTCTACTCACTCTAAGGTTAACACGGAGAGAGTCGTCGAAGCTATCGACTCCCGGCTGGTGCTGCGGATAGGCGACCCCGAGCGGGCCTTCGAAGGAAAAAACGCAGTGAATCTCTCCGGCTTTTTTTGGAGGGCCTGGCCCGGAGGAACAAGTGAGCTGGATCCAAGTGTCCAAGATGCCTGCGAAATGGTTGCCGTTGTGGTATCCGTGTTGATGTTGCCGTTGCCTTTGTTGTCGTCGTTGTATTTTTGCATGATGTTGTTTGTGTTGTGGACGGGCACAACCAACGCGCTTTGAAAAGGGAGGGGCAGCTGGGCTGCAAGCACGAGAGCGATGCAAGGGATTTTGGAGGCCGTAGGCTATTCGTGCGTAGTGTTTCCGAGACCGAATTTTCGGGAGAATGCTGGCGGTAGTAGCATCAAGATCAGAGCTCGACAGGTAAATGGAAAGCTACACTTGAGAAGATCGTGAGGGAGGAAAAACGATACTCAGGTAGACAAACGATGGCACGCAGAGATAACTCACCTCGCTTGAACACTGGCAAGAGACTGCACTGTGCGCTCCCGATGAGCTCATCGCTGTCCAGGACGTCGTGGTTGAAGCATTCCAGCCAAAGGGTGTACTGGTCCACAATGTCAATTTCAATCGTCTGGAAGCATTTGGTTTAGAAAGGCAGCAACATTGCAAGCATCTCTTGAGAAACACTCAACGCTTTCGTGTCAGCATTAATTCGAGCGTAGATTCCACGGGTGGAACCTAAACCCCACCCTTCAGTCACAGTCGACACAAAACCGGAACGAGGAGAAATATATTCACCCCCTTTTAGCGCCCAACTTTCGTTTTTTCCCCGATGTATTCTTGTTTGGTTGCAGCCACACCAACCGCAACCATGCGTACCTCGTTCCACCGAGGGTCCATTCCCCCGTCTTTGTCGACCTTGGTCTTTCGGCTTAGCGACACAGCCTTGGACGGCGTCGTTGATCCATGGGTCCATCGACAAGTACAACACGCCCGTCGCACCAACGAAGACAACCGAGGAAAAGGGTGCGGGGATCAAAGGCTCGGAGAAAACGGTTTTGCTTTACTTTCTGCGATGATTCCAGGGGTGAGTTCGTCAACTCGAACGGGCCACGCCCCAATTGCCGTCTAGGGGGCAGAGGACGAACGCCGGCCGTGAATTTCACTCCTTGATAATAAAAAAGCTTCCGACCAGTCACGCGGCTATGGGGTGGGTACTCGAGTTCCACGTGGTTACGGCTGTGCACATTGGACCCACGGCACGAAGACGTGCAATGCGTAGATCAATTCACGGCAGGCATACACCATACCGTAGAGCCAAAGATGTGTATTCCCGTTTGCGTAGTAGCACAGCATGATAACATGATGCGCCGTTACACACATTCCACGCTATCCAGAAACCGACCCACGAAATGCTAGCTCCTCTGAACCAATCGACTTGCCTTGAAGGCTACCCATCGTACCCTTTTTTCCCACACCCACGCCGTTCCAAGCCACGCTCCTGCATCTTCGCCTTCGAATCACACGCAACATTCAGCAATATACCTAGCATACAGCCAACGCTGTTTCCACCCACCTGTCCGTCCGCCTTGAAGGTAACGTACGGGTCCATCCTTCCGGCCGCCGACGTCTCCCTCAGGCCCCGCCCGCTCTCGCACACGAACGACAGCTTTCCCGCCGGTAGGAAGACGCACTTCGCGAAAAGCTGGCCCGCGGGCTGCCCTTCCAGAAGCAGCTCGATCTTCCTCTCCTGTAGAAAATGGACGAATACAACGCACGAGGCCGATGAGGCAACGATAAACGAGGGTGGGCGTGGCCTCTTCGTATTCTACGTACAGTCCGGACAAGCAACTCATGTCATGAATGTTGTTGGAACGCTCAGCACGCTCGCACGCGGGCCGGTCGGATGTGCCAGTGGCACAAATAGGGGCGTGGAGGTCACACTCGATGTACTCAGGCTTCGGAAGCAAGTTCCTAGCTTGAACGTACGCGCTACTTCATTGCATTGCTCATCATAGCGGGTTACGGTGCGTCTCAGTTTTGTTTACCGTAGCTTGGTCTGGAGGGATGTCCATCGCGTGGAGCACGCTGATCTTAGCCGACCCCAGCTCCGCGTCCGTTCCTATGTCCTCGCTTCGTACTCTGACGACACGCACCGTGAGGGAAACACGATGTGTTTGCGATTACCATGACGCAGAGTTTGTTTGTTTGTTTGTTTCTCTCCCATCATTGGACTCTGCCGTCTGCCCATCTGGCCCCTATCCTCCACTTCTACTGGCTAGACGACCCAACCGGGGTCACAGAGGAGGGGGGGGTTGGACCCCCTCCTGCGGTTCATGCCTGAGGTATTTTTATCGCGAGAAGGGTACAGCAATCCCTTCCCTCGCGACTTACGAAGTCGATTATGGTTTACTAACAAACGAGCTTTGCAGCGCGTCGCTTTCATCCTAGACCAGGATTTATTTAGTGAGACAAAAACTCTCTCTGCCGGGGCGCGAACCCATGACCTGGCCCTTAGCAGGCTGCGAGGCTACCCACTAGACCACCCAGGCGACCGGTGTGCTTCGCGGTAGGTACGAGAACGCCGTGACGAACGCGATCACTTCATGCAGCAAAGAATAGGGGGAATGCGCTCAAGAACATCGTAAACAACAAGTTTCATTTCTATCACCGGAAAGGCAGGTGCGGTATGATGCATGCGGCATGCCCTCTCTCCGAAGTCCTTCTCGCTTTAAGACCAGAGGGATGAAGCAAGGGATGGTAGGGATCATGTCAAGTAATTAGAAGCAAATTGAAAGAGGGAGGGGAAGAGGGGGGGGGTGTACTCATAGTCGTGCATGCCGTAGTCGTTAGACCATTGACCTCGCATCCCTACAAAGCCGGGACGGAGCACGCCGGGTTCTCACCGGACC